TTTCTATTTTTTGTGAGGCAACCTGCTTTCACCGGTTATACCCCAGGAACGCCGAGAGCGGGGACTGAGTTAGAGATCTAGGGAGCTGGAAAGACACTAGGGTGGGCGTTACTAGTGGGGGTGACGGAACTTTGTGCTACTTCTTGTATGTATTTCAAAATGGAGATTAATTCGTCTACGGTCAGATCGCCCGCTAAATAATCACAAATTAGGCTAACTAGTTTTCTAATACATAAATGCAAGATTCGATCCTCAGTCTTCTTATCGTCGGACAAGCAATTCATTGGAAATTGAATTAATTGTCACGTCCTAGTGACCTTCTTACTTTCTCTATTCTTAGGCTAGAAAGAATAGGGCGCTCTCTATTTCTTATGAGGTAACCTGCATACACCGGCTATATCTCAGGGACGCCGAGAGCACGGACTATACTATGGAACTAGGGACCGAGTATTGGGACGTTAGGGATGGGGAATTCTAGTTACTAGTGAGAAAAGGATTTCTACTAGCAATTCTTTCTAAACTATCCAATGAATTGATTAATTGATCGACTGTAATTTCCCCATTTAAATAATTGTTAATTAATAAATTCAGTAGCAAAAATATTATATAATTCTCAAATTTAGAGTCTTGAGAATCCCTTATTGGGTTCTATTATTAAACAATTATTTAGATTACACGAATTATCGGTTTTCGAGAAGCCTCGCGTTTATCGTGTTCAATGGATCTGGAATGTTATCTAAACAGACGAGAAATTGGTCTAAATCGATGTTTCCCTTTAAAACGTCTGTTAGTAAGGCGATAATTATACTTATTGCATGAATTTCTTTGTTAATTAAGTTCTGGTTTTTTTCAATAGTACATTCTGATGACATTGGAGAAATACTTTAAATATTTAAATATCTAGATAATTAGCATATTGATTGATTTCAATTAAATTGTCTGGACACTGATCTTTTAGTGATTGTATTAAGTCCTTACGAGGAATTAGTTCCCGAGAGGTATCCTCTTCTATTTGTGATACTAAATCACACAATTCTGCAATTAGTAACTGTTCGGAGGATTGGTCTTTTAATATAATATTTGTACTTCATCTGTAGGATAAAATTGTTCCGGGGAAGTATTTTTTCCCACTTGCGATACCAATTCGTGTAATTCTGTGATTAGTAACTGCTCTGAAGAATCGGGTTCTGAACTAAATATATTAGATGGTTCGTCTGGCAAGAACTCTATCCTGGAGTCAAGGGGAATTTCTTTGTCTGGAATTGGTGATAACTGGGGGAAAATGGTTCTAAGATTAAAATAATTAAGTGCTTCTTCTATCGAAGAATCAATTGAACTTGGTAGTTTAGGAGTCAAGAATTCAAGGGAATGAGGAGGTTGGTTGATCGAGGGTTCAATCTCAGTATGAGGGGGAGTTTCTTTGTTCGCTACGAGTTTATTGTCAGGATTTAGTTGAATAAGTTAAGTCTTTAATCTTTTTATAGTCTCCGGAGAAATGGCAACTATTTCACACGATTTGATGCGAGATTTATTGTCTGGTGACCGTTGCCTGAGCCAACGTAGAATAGACGTGGCGCGATTAGCACGAGCCTTTTTCCTAGCTCTGTGATTACGTTTATTCCGACGTGCGATCTTTTGTTTTAATGTTTTCATTTATAATACGTTAATGGAATAGTAGGAAAATGGTTAATATGATTTAATATGATTGCTAAATTATATAGTTATGATTTCACAATGTGGTATATCCTTAATTACGGTGAAATGTTGTTATATTCATGGAGTCCTTATTTATGTGAATATATTGAAAAAAAGGAGAATAATATCTCTGATACTAAATTGTAAAAATCTGAGTAGTTCGTTATATCCCTAAAAGATATAACTATTAAGGTATAACTATTTATATTACATCCGCTTGACGACGGGCACTGACCGCATAAAAACGCATACGCTGCGAGATACACGCAGAATCGAAATTGCCCAACGTGCAAGCAAAGCAGAAGGACTTTGAATTTACTTCGCTTGCACCTAGGTCCTTGACCGAGGGGGTCCGTTGCTAGGCACCTCTTCCGATCAAGGAACTTCCAAAAAGCGAGACTATAAAAACGGAACAGAAGACGCGCCCGGGAAGTTGCTTTCGAGTCGGTACTTAAGAGTAACTGTTACGTCTCGGGAAATCGCGGCTGCGAAAAAACGAATGCAGGGCTCGGGCCTTTCCATGAGACACGATCGCTATTACGGGTACGCGAATCTAAGCGATTCTCTTCGGAGATACCCGCGATCTGAGGTTGTTTGCGCTGGAAGAGAGGAACGCGTGGTGATCGAATTATGATGTAGAACCTATCTGTGACTTTACTGTTACGACAATAGTCTCGTCAACCGCTCTCAGCGAGACATTGTTTGGATCGCGTAAATAGTCTTCGTATTTGAATTGGCAACCATCGCATAAGTTACCGGTTCGCGTGAGGGTGAGGCGATTGTTGCAAGTCTCACAATTTATCCCGACGGGTATTCCGCCTATGATTAGGCTGTTTTCGAATTTTCGCCCAGAGCAATTTCGAAACTCTAGGTAAGGCGGCGAAACACGAAAGGCAGAGAGCAGTCTTAGTCTCGAAATGAATATATCCGACACCGACTTGGCAATAGAACAAAGGTGGAAACGGCGCTATGAAGGTAATCTCTGGAGGAGGGATTATACCTCTAGGCGGAAACGGGCACATCGATACGTGAGAACCCTTAAATTAGTTATTATTTATCTAAATAATTGTTGTGTCGTAAAAAGAATCGCGCCGTTACTTCTTTAGATTTTTAGAAAATCAGAATATTTTATTCTTTTGCGTTTTCGTATTACAAGGTGCTGGGCTGCAGCGCACGTGGTGGTCGATTCTATTTTTATGACCGACCCCTTCTTTTACGACTGACCCCTTTTTATTTTTATGACAGACCCTTTTTATTTTATGACCGACCTTTTTTATTTTACGACCGACCCTTTTTCTGATTTCCGTAGTGGACGCTTGGAAAGGAAAAATGCGTAGGAGATTTTCCCGAATATTCCTTTCCACGTGGCGGTGGCGTCTCTAAATTTCTTAACTTAAAATGCGCGATTTCTTAAATCAACACGGATTTCACTCACCTTTAACAATATTTCTTTGATAGCGTCAGCTCGTTTTTGTAGGTAGCGAGTACGGCGGGGGTCGTCCTCCAGGATATTCAGTGGCGGCATGCGTCGTGGCAGGAAGGTTATCGCCACTGGTTTTTACGGCAGGAGCACGTCGTTGTTGTTAGTGTTTGCGTTATTTTTCGTGTCGAAAAGTTTTTCGTACTCAGGATCGGCCTGGTACTCTACACCGAGTAATTGAGAGTATTGTTCGGTTATCGATTCACGATAAATTCGGTTTAATTTACGGAGTTGGTTTTTTCTTTCCGCGCGTCGCGTTTGAGGCATAATGAATTCGAATCGGAGACATTCTCGGAACAATTGCGTTAATAAAGAAGATCGATGTGCGGCGGACCTCACTATCGATTTCTTATTTCGGTGCGTAAAGAGAATGTTATTCTAGCTGTGATGAGCGATTGTCCGCTCTAAGCACAGTTCGAATTTGTTCCGAATTCGGGATTTGATGCCTTGTTGCTGATTTAGTCACTAGCGCGTTTTTGTCGCAAATAGGTTTTGTGGAATTTGTCGAGAAATGTATTAGACACTTGTTACACAAAACTCACTGGTTTATTCTTATATATATAAGTACATAGTATTATTTAGAGTAAAAATTAGAATTAGGACTTATGCTTTAGAGTTAAAGTAAAATTTAGAATTAGGACTTATGCTTTAGAGTTAAAGTAAAATTTAGAACTAGGACTTATGCTTTAGAGTTAGGCTTAACTAGATTTAGAAGTGTACTGCTTGGAGTCGCGAGATGAACTGCCGAAATTCGGGACTGCTCTGAGGTCTTTCGTTTCGGCGGCTCGGGCCTGCGGCGGCCGAGAGAGAGAGGGAACTCTCTAGAGTAGGGGTTCTCGCCGTGGTGGGAGATCTCTAGACGCTACGGAGCGTCGCGCTTAGTTTCTAGGCGGAGTTAAGGGTCATGGCCGGCATTGACGCGCTTTTCAAACGGCCCTTGATGAACTTAGAATTTTATTCTTTAAGAAAACGAAAAAATTTATATGGCCGGACGTGACATCTTCCCCCTAAAAATAAAAATGTTGGAAGTTATTGTTCCAACATTTTAGACTTAATAGCAGGTATCTTGTATCGCCAGTGATGAATAAAATTAAAAATAACTGTGAGACGACCCAACTGGCTTAAATTGATTCTTATTATTAGTTTGATGTCATATACAAGAAAAGACAACGTTTCGACCTTAGTTTTAGGTCCTTATCAAGTCTTACAAAATCTTTAGTACAATATATAATTAAGTTTTTTCATTTTACTGAGTTCGCCTTTACCATCCATACTGAACGTTTTACGTGACACAGTATTTATATTGAAATGTGTAAAATGAAAAAACTTAATTATATATTGTACTAAAGATTTTGTAAGACTTGATAAGGACCTAAACCTAAGGTCGAAACGTTGTCTTTTCTTGTATATGACATCAAACTAATAATAAGAATCAATTTAAGCCAGTTGGGTCGTCTCACAGTTATTTTTAATTTTAGACTTAGTTCTATGCGCTACAATTAGATTCTTTACTTAGCATTGGTTATGTAGGTATTTATTTAGCTCATCGTAGTCTTTCATCGGGGGAACACTTGTAGGGTGAGTTTTTACACACACACTTTACCATTGTCTGTTTCGTTAGTCGAGAGGGTTTGTTGCGTGGGCAGGGTTAGGGGTGCTTGTTCTTCGTTCGGTGAAGGGGGTTTCAAGTGTAGCAGTTCTCGTCCGTTGTCCTGTTCTCCGTCTGCTGGTTTGCCGAGATGTAGGAGGACATTGGTCACCGAGGTCCAAATGGCTCCGAGTAAGTGTAAGCTCCATCCGTACACCGAGGGTGCGTTCCGTTTCACGCATAATGCGCATAGACTGCATTCAATGTGCTGCGCGCATTGATATCGTTCCGTTTCGTTAATGCGCATGATGCGCGCTTGGAAACGAAACGATTATTATGCGTTTAATGCGATTAAAAAATGGCTACTACCATGGATAAAATAGTTGTAACTTCATTTTTATTAATAAAAAATATTGAAGAAATTAATTCAAGCAGTGATACTACTGATAGTGATAGCGAAGATGAAGTGGAAGATAGTTATGAATTAGAGTTAATATATTTAATATTGATGATTGCTGAAACACGCGGGGAAACCGTTTTTAATGAAAAAATGGATTATATTGAGCGAGTTGTTCCTAATTATTCTAGAACGGTATTCAAAGAACATTTTCGGTAAATAATATAAATTTATAAAAAAATTTATAAAAAAAATAATATAAAAAATTATAAATAGCTTATATATAATTTTCTATATTTCTATGTAATATTATATTGTTTTATATATGATTATATATAAAAGAATTTTGGGAAGTACCTTTTTATTATTTTCACCGTTCTTTTTTTAGAATCTTTCCTGAAACTTTTGAAATGGTACTGACAATAATTGGTCCAGCATTACGAGCAATTAATAATACACTCTCTGGCAGAAAGCCAATACCAGAAAGAAAACAATTATTTATTGCTATTTGGTTTATGGCTACTCCTGATTCTTACAGGTATGTACAATGGAGGTCACTGATTCGTTCCCTGAGGGTAAGGGGGGTACCTAGAAAGTTTAATTTAAAACCAATTTCACCAATTTTTTGTCTTTTTTCAGATACGTTCTTTAAAAAGAGACAAAGATATAATTTAACCGGAGGTTAAAGTTAACCGAGGTTGGTGAAATTAGCTCTTAGGCCCGTTTCTACCAACGTCGATTAAATTAAACCTCTGGTTAAAATATATCTTTGTCTCTTTTTAAGAACTAGTGCACTCCCCTTACCTCAAAGAACGAATTAATGACTAGCAATGTACAGTATTTTTTTGGAACGCAACCTTAATCTATATGATACATCATTATTTTAGATCTGTAGCGACAAAATTTGGAGTAGGCAAAGCAACTGCTTTTCGAGCATTGAGGCGTGTAACATATGCTCTCCATTGTGTTGCACCTCAATTTATTAAATGGCCGAGAGATGAGATTGCCGTTAGTGTAATGGAACGATTTAAACGATCATGCGGCTTCCCAAATGTTATCGGAGCGATTGATGGGACTCATATTAAAATCCGAGCTCCTCCTAAAGATGCTCAATCGTATATTAATCGAAAAGGTTTCCATTCCATTAACGTGCAAGTAATATGTGATTCTCTTGGTCGTTTTACACATGTATATGCTGGACAAGTTGGATCAGTCCACGACTCTCGAGTTTTTCGAAACTCGCCAGTAGCCCGGTTTGTTCGATTGCCCGAAGAATATTTCCCCAATGATTCACATATCATCGGAGATGCTGCATACCCATTCAACCTCACATAATGGTGCCTTTTCGAAATAATGGATATTTGACAGATCGGCAAAAAAACTTTAATTATTGTTTGTCGTCCACGAGAATGGCAATTGAGCGTGCTATAGGGTCCCTAAAAATGCGTTTTAGGATACTTTTAGACTGTTTGCCATTAACAGACATAAAAAAAGTTCCAGAATTTATCCTAGCATGCTGTGTGTTACACAATATTTGCATTTTACAAAATGATGAAATGCCCATGGGTATACAATTAAATCTTGATGAAGACAACCTTGTTAATACACACCACGATGCAGAATTAGGAAAACAGAAACGATTAACAATTATGAATGCGCTACGAATGAGATTATAATTATTAATAAAAAATATATAAGTATAAAAATACTTTTTATTCTTTTTTAGAATTGTACATCTGAAATCGGGATGCACCCGTTAAAATAATAACATATTTCGTACAATTTAACACATAAAAACTGTAGTATGCTCTCTCTCCCTCTCTGTGCACGCGCGCGCGTGCATGGGAGAGATCTTATCTTTGGTTCTTTCGGTGGACATACGAGGTAATGGGTCTGTTTTTTGTTCCTGAACTGCTGCACTAGTTTAGAGGTTGTCCTTTTCTTATCAGTGTCGAGCAAAAGACAACCTCTGAACTAGTGCAGCAGTTCAGGAACAAAAAACAGACCCAATAATTAAACTAATAAACTATAAACTATTAAACTAATAAGCTTATAACTAAAAAATCACCGTGGTAATATAACGAATTTAATAACTTTTTATTTCAGTCTTCTCAAAAGCGTACAATTCTCGTCCACTAAGTACATAGCGTTATTCCTTACCAAAAATAAGTTGAAAAGTCCTAAAGAATTTTTACACTTAATGAACTAGTAATTATTGAGTAAAGTACGATCAAACAGCGCCGGGTTTATAAAATTATTAAAAATTATTCAAATTATTATTTTATTTAAAATTATTCAGGACTTTTCAACTTATTTTTGATAAGAAATAACGCTATCTATTTAGTGGGCGAGAATTAATAAGTAATACCCTGTGCATTTAAATATGACTCTATCAGGCACATTTTTCGCGCATCTTAATCCAGCCTCGCCCAGGTTGGTTTGCGTATTTCTTATATATAATGGAAAAAAATTTAATCATTCTGCTGATTAAATTGCACCCTTAATATCACAGTGTATTGCACTAACGTTAATCGTTTCGATTAACTTACTTTTTATTTGCAAAATTCTGCAGGACGGCAAGTAGTGATTTCTGTACCTCCATGTTATCTTGATGCATTTTTTCACGCTCTCTCTTCTTTTCTTCATATTTTGCTTCTCTAATTTCTTCTTTTTTCTTTCTTTCTTCATCTCGCTCTTTTTTTGTAGTCTCCCTTTCTTGCTTTATATTATCAATATAATTTTCTAGAATATTCTCAACTCGTCTTTTTTTAGGCGCACCTGCAATATTAATACAAATGTTTACAAGATTATGTATAATGCGGGGTCTACAATGGTAGTAAGAGTACGAGTACAAGAGTAAAGCAGTAAGCAGTACGAAGTGGGATTCGCTCATTTCGTCGGGAGTAACGAAATGAACAAATCCCATTTCGTACTTCTTACTGTACTTCTTACTGCTTATTCTTGTACTCTGTACTCTTGCTGTTATTGTAGACCATGCATAACACTGAAAATGCCTTCAGTCGTGGGCTGCTTTGGCGACAGAATCAAAATGATCTAGATTAAAATAATCCATGTACTGTGATTGGTCAAATCTGAAATTTCATTATAACAATCAATGAAATTTCAGATTTCAATCACGGATTGACACGCACGGATTATTTTAATCTGATTGTGAATCATTTTGGTTCTGTCGCCAAAGCAACTATGGTTTATTAATTATGTTATTACTTCGTAAATCCTCTGAGAAACTCGCTGGAGATAAAGATCCTGATGTAGATAGTATCGGTTGTGATGGACCTTCGCTGGACGCTTCAGCTGGAGGTTGTATATATGCCTTTTCACCAAGTAATGAATCCATTACCTACAAATACAAAATCAGTTTTGTAAGTCTATACATTCAATATTATATTATTATACTTGCAAACACATATGCATATACTTACTGAATAAAAAGCCCAACTACTGTGGGAGTTACCACTTTTTTTATTCTGCTCATATATATTTTTATATGTCCGTTTGAGGCCAGCAAATTTTGTTGAGCATTGAAGACCAGTAACTATATACTTTTTGTCAGTTTCTTTTATTTGGGCAGCAATCTCTCCCCAAATGATATTGTGTCTTTTCATGCCGGTATTAAATTCTTGCTCTCTTTCTCTATATAATTCAACAAGCAAAAGTACTGCAGCGTCAGGCCACACAAAAGATTTTGAATTGGATTCATCTAAAATTTTATTCAAGTCATAAAGTAAATTTTATTACAAAATCTATACTGTTTAACAAAATTATAGGAAAATAAATGAGCTCTTGAGCCAATCGCTGTTATTGTAGCGTGTTTAATTAATCTTTATTTAAAAGAACACCGTAAAACGTTTCAGCCCTGATTGGGCCCTCTTCAGTTACATTAATTAATATTGTCATGCTTTGTAAATTTTAAATAATTATGTCCTGTACGCCATATGTATATAATTTATCGATTCTTTGTTTGATCATTGTTATTTCAATGCCTTGCTGTTCATCTGACGCTCAGAGACGTTCTGTTTCTGTCGTGTCTCCTTTGGATGCCATCCAACAGAAACAGAAGGTCTCTGAGCGTCAGATGAACAGCAAGGCATTGAAATAACAATGATCAAACAAAGGATCGATAAATTATATACATATGGCGTACAGGACATAATTATTTAAAATTTACAAAGCATGACAATATTAATTAATGTAACTGAAGAGGGCCCAATCAGGGCTGAAACGTTTTACGGTGTTCTTTTAAATAAAGATTAATTAAACACGCTACAATAACAGCGATTGGCTCAAGAGCTCATTTATTTTCCTATATTTCTGATAATTGGGAGCCTAATATTACTTATTACTGTTTAACAAAATGTTAAATTATAAAAATTACCAGGTTCTTCAGTGGTGTTAATTTCAGGCACACACAATACATCTTTATTTCCATTATTAAGTCCCTCAGTATTACATTTATTTTCTTTCCATTTAATAAAGATATCTTGCAAAAACTGTGGATCTGTAAAATTATATACTTTCATTACTTTTAGGTTATAGAATTATATTTTATAAGTATATACTGATTGTACATAATTTAATACCTTGATTTGCCTTTGCAGCAGTTTCTTGATCCAGTATAAGAGTAAAAACTTCATTATTTTCATCAATGACTGGGACTTCGACCAATGCCATTGTGCACACTTGAATAAAAAAGGCGCCTTTTCTGTTGATGCATCAACTCCGCATCAAACGCTTCACGCCCGAGCTGCGGTAGCTGATGCACGTTGATGCGCGAGAAGTGGTGGGGATATAGGGAATTCTGTGCGCTATCAATGCGCGCATTGAGTGAAACGGAACGGTTCTTTATGCAGTCTATGCGCATTATGCGTGAAACGGAACGCACCCCGAGTGGAGTGCGTACCCATGAATCAGGATGTCGATGATTAGTTTTATAAACCGTACAGTGACGAAGATACCGAGTACTCCGGCGCTAGCGGATCCAAAGTTTATAAATCCTTTCCATAGCTTAGCTCCGGTGTTTTCCGCTATTTGGTCGAGTGATTTCTCGTCTAGTAGGTTCAGCAAAGAGAAACTGTCTGTAGGAATTTTCCGTCCCATTGCTCCCCTGGCGATTGTGTGAAGCATGGAAGGCTTTTCCACGGGGAACATGATATGATCGCGAAGACGATCAAGATCCTCGTTCGTGTAGATACCACTGGAAGCGAGTGAGTCCGGGCTTACGTATTTCCATTAGGGTTTGGTTAGAGGCCGGATAGTAGGTGGTGCCATTGACTCCACTAGTTTTGGTGTTAGTCTATACCAGGTGTTGTGTATTTGGTATATGGTTGGTAATAATTCGTTACAATCCCTCAATGTTCCGGCTTTAGTGAGTATCTTTGATCTTGGTAACAAGAAGAGTGACTTATTTTGGTGAGTGACGGGGAGTTCGTTGTAGCACTCCTCGGCAGATCGTAGTCGGCATTCGACAGTATACATTTGATGAGATATATAACTTTACCTGCGGTTATGGCGGTATAGCCTGGAGACTTCATTATTCGGTGTGCCATTTCGTCAGGTGCTATGCTCGCTAAAGAAAGTGCGTTGAGAAGGATCTGCCTCTCCAGTGCGCATTTTTGCTCTATGATGTCTTTGTATAGCTGGGTCAGCTGGGTCTTCAGGTGTTTCTCGACGTATATAAACTTTGAGTTTACGTAAGTAAAGATGTCGAGGTTATCGATTCGGACCTTGGAACGGCTTTTGAATGTTCGTTCGGGCCGCGTTTCGAGGATACCCATCTTAGGGTGTTCTGTTCGCCAAAGGTCGTATCCGCATACGTTGGTTTCTGTTGTCCTTACTCACTAGCGCGTTTTTGTCGCAAATAGGTTTCGTGGAATTTGTCGAGAAATGTTTTAGACACTTGTTACACAAAACACTGGTTTATTCTTATATATATAAGTACATAGTATTATTTAGAGTAAAATTTAAAGTTAGGGCTTATGTTTTAGAGTTAGAGTAAAAATTAGAATTAGGACTTAAGCTTTAGAGTTAAAGTAAAATTTAGAATTAGGACTTTATGCTTTAGAGTTAGGCTTAATTAGATTTAGAAGTGTGCTGCTTGGAGTCGCGAGATGAACTGCCGAAATTCGGAACTGCTCTGAGGTCCTTCGTTTCGGCGGCTCGGGCCTGCGGCGGCCGAGAGAGAGGGAACTCTCTAGAGTAGGGGTTCTTGCTGTGGTGGGAGATCCCTAGATGCTACGGAGCGCCGCGCTTAGTTTCTAGGCGGAGTTAAGGGTCATGGCCGGCATTAGCGCGCTTTTCAAACGGCCCTTGATGAACTTACGAGGAGAATACCCCAACTGCCAACCGAGTTTTTTAATGAGCTTTGGTGTGGTGGTAGATTAGGAAAATATAAGATTACGCCTCCAATATTAGCCGTAGATACGCAGCCGCTTTCGAGAATGTGAGGGTTGAAATTAAGCGAGCACGTTATCTACCTTAAATTTAAAGGTTCAATTGTAGCATTTCGTTAGCCGCGCAACGAACGCACTGGACTCACAGTCCAAAGATCAAGCGTTCATGCCTCGGCACTGTCCTTTTTTTTTTTTTTTTTTTAATTACTTTTTATTCTTATCGTCAATTATTTTACTTATTAATAATTAATTATTAACATTGTTTATTACCTAAAATAAAAGAAATAATTAAATTTGTTTAAAAATATATTAAAAATTTAGGAAACTATTTTAAAGAAGGTAGTAAAAATACAGGAACAATACGAAATAATTATGGCAGCTTTAACAGACTCCATTACGGACGCGGAAAATATCATAGAATACTTGGCGCAAATCGAGGAAACGTACATCCGAAACTAATACCGTTCGATAACATTGTCGCAAATTTAAAAAAAGCCGCAACACAATTAGAACCGGGATATTATTTCCCGTTTAGAACACATACAGTAAGCTGGCATGAAATAAAGAAACATGCAAGCGTAAGCGCGTACGTAAGCAAGAACTATAATTTATATACGATACTGCGGTTCCCGATAATTTCACAGCCTAAATATAACATAATAAATGCAATTGAATTCTCCGCGCCAGCATATAATAAAACATTTAAAGGTATACGAGTAGAAAACAATATGTTTGCCATAGATAACCTTAGACTAACATATTTGATTATAACAAACGAAGATTTACAGAAATGTAATAAAATAAACTTTTATTATATATGCGAGCACAACATGCTGCCTTATCGCATAAACACGAATATACCGTGCGAATTGCAACTGTATACGCAACGAATGCAAGATAAGCATAAATGTAAGGTACACTATTGGATAACGAGAACGTCGTTATGGATCCCATTACATCAGTCACATACATGGTTGTACTCAACAGCCAAAGAAGAAAAAATAAATATAAAATGCGATGAATACACATGTTATGTGCCTCGGGAGAGACACCAGGGGGTCGCGCCAAATTGGGATGGGAATCCGGGGCGTCAGGACTTGTTCGGGTGTTTGAAGAAAATGCACTGCACTTTTCTTATTAAGAAATCTTTATTCAAATTCAACCACTTGGCCTTTATTTATTTCACCAATACTACACTGAAGCTTTACCGGGTGTGCGGTACTGACTTTTTATCACTCCGCGTATCGCGCACAACTGCGAGTCGATGCTAGGTGCGCGCGCGGTTAGCGAGATCGTGTTTAGAGCGATTGTTTGTGTCTGCGACTGAGCGAGTTGGCGCGTCTCTACTCTCTTTTTATAATGTTGTTTTTTGGAGTTTTCCCGATCGGAAGGGGTGCCTGGCAACAGGTTTCCCCGGTCGAGAATCTAGGTGCAAGCGAAGCAGATTCAAAGTCCTTCTGCTTTGCTTGCACGTTGACCAATTTCTGTTCCGCGTATATCTCGCATTGTATGCGTTTTTAACGCGGTCATTATCTGTCGTAATTGCGGATGTAATACGAGTACTCATTTCTTAATACTAGTTACCTTTTAATAGTTATATCTATATCTTTAGGGGATATAACATCCCTCCCTCGTTAAAGAAGAAAAACGAAGGTATGAAGTTTTTCGCTTACAACTAAAGCTCACAAATGTTTATCCCGTTCACAATATAATTATAATCGTTTCCTATTTCCTAAAAACGCGTACTATTACTTCTTTTTAGTATGGATCTAGGTACATCCCAGTCATCGTCGAGTATCGTCACTCTTGGTCTTCTTTTAGTGTCTTTTTTATTTTTTACTTTCCAAATTACAATGACAATGACAAATATTATAATTATGATTATTATTAATCCGCTCGAGGTCATGGGATAAATAAATTGTTTCCTCGTATAAAACTTTTGTTCATTATCTTGTAAATCATTGTCTACGTTGTTTATCTTCGTTCGTAATTCTATTAATTCTGCGTTGTGTTGTGTTAGATTATTTAATGTGTCGAGTATTCTCATGTCCTCGTCTTGTGACGGTGCAATATTAAAATTCGGTAAATATGTGTCTATGTTTGTTACGTAAGTCGTCTCTTTTGTCTCTAATGTCATATCCTCCGTTTTAATTTGACAGTTTTCTCGTGAGGTTAGTCGGCCGGTATTTTTTATTACTAAATTTTTTTCTGTGTATCCGTCACATTTTATATTTATTTTCTCTTCCTTAGCTGTTGAGTACAACCATGTGTGTGTTTGATGTAACGGGATCCATACTGTCGTTTTCGTTATCCGATAGCGTACCTTACATTCATGCTTATCTTGCATTCGTTGCGTATACATTTGTAATTCGCACGGTATATTCATGTTTACGCGATAAGTCGGCATGCTATGTTCGCATATATAATTAGAGTTTATTTTACTACATTTTTGTAAATCCTCATTTGTTATAATTAAATATGTTAATCTAAGGTTATCTATGGCAAACATATCGTTTTCTACTTGTATACCTTTAAATGTTTTATTGTATGCTGCCACGGGGAATTCAATTGCCTTTATTAGGTTATATTTAGGCTGTGATATTATCGGGAACCGCAGTATTGTATATAAATTATATTCTTCGCTTACGTATGCACTTACGCTTGCATGTTTTTTTATTTCATGCCAGTTTACTGCGTGTGTTCTAAACGGAAAATAATATCCCTGTTCTAACTGTGTTGCGGCTTCCTTTAAATGCGTGACAATGTTATCAAATGGTACTAATTTTGGATGTACGTTTCCTTCCTCGATTTGCGCTAAGTATTCTATAATATTTTCCGCGTCCCTAATGGAGTCTGTTAATGCTGCCATAATTATTTCATATTGCCCCTGTATCTTTTCTAACGTAATATATTGCGCTACATTTTCCTGTAAGAGTTTTTCACTCTGTTCTATTATATTCTCTAACTTATTTATATGTGTTACCGTATCATTGATTATTGTTAGTTGATGTCTAACTGTATGTTGCAACGTGCTCTGTCGGCTATTTATTAATTCCAGTTGTTCATTTATGCGTTTTTCGTCATCGGCGTCCATGGTACCGAACAATGTTTTTGCTACCTGTTCCTATCCCGTCAATTATTCCCCTACGTTTGTCTGTACGTCTGTCGTAGAGTGTAGTTATTTGTATTGTCGTCTTTTCCAAATAGTTTAGTGTTTGTTTTATAATACTAACTAAATTAAGGCATGTGTTTTGTTGCGTTAACACATTGCACGCTTTTTCTGTACGCTCTATGTAATTTCGTATGTAACCCTGTTTCGCAGTTAATGTTGCTAGGTCTAGTTTTATTACTAGTTTCCACGTGTTTTTAGAACAATGTAGATGGCCTATTTTTTCAAAATGTA